CGTGCTGCGGTTGATACCAAATATGTATAGCATGCTTGCAAAGACACTAAATGCATGAATGATAAAGAGAAACCTTGTTTAAATCGACAAACGAACGTCGATACGGCACTACATTGCGCACAGGCCTATCCTTGCACAGTTTTCCCTCCTCGGTTGTTTGGAACACCATATCTTTCTACCACGTGCTACGAATGATACCAAATATGTCCAACATGCTTGCAAATATAGTAAATACATGAATGATCAATAGAAACCTTGTTTAAATCCACAAACGAATGTCGATACGGCACTACGTTGCGCACAGGGCTATCCTTGTACATTTTTCCCTGCTCAATTGTTTGGAACGCCGTATCTTCCTACGACGTGCTGCGGATGATACCAAATATGTCCAGCATGCTTGCAAATATAGTAGATGCATGAATGGTCAAGAGAAACCTTGTTTAAATCGACAACGAACGTCGATACGGCAGTACGTTGCGCACAGGCCTATCCTTGCACAATTTTCCCTGCTCAGTTGTTTGGAACACCATATCTTCCCACCATGTGCTGCGAACGACACCAAATCTGTGCAGCATGCTTGCAAATATAGTAAGTGCATGAATGATCAAGAGAAGCCTTGTTTAGATCGACAAACAAACGTCGATACGGCACTACGTTGCGCACATGCCTATCATTGCACATTTTTCCCTGCTCAGTTGTTTGGAACACCATATCTTCCCACCATGTGTTGCGAACGACACCAAATATGTGCAGCATGCTTGCAAATATAGTAAGTCCATGAATGGTCAAGAGAAGCCTTGTTTAAATTGTCAGTAGAGCTACACTGTGAGATCCCCGATCGATCCTAGGGGGGGTTACAGGCGCGTTTGCCTGGGGGGTTATGGGCGCATTGACCCGCTACTGAAACAAGCCCTTTTATCCCAATGGTCTAGTGGTTGGGATTCTGACATAAATCGACAAACAAACGTTGATACGGCACTACGTTGCGCACAGACCTATCATTGCACAGCTTTCCCTGCTCAATTGTTTGGAACGCCGTATCTCCCTACCACGTGTTGCGGATGATACCAAATATGTCAAGCATGCTTGCAAATATAATAAATACATGAATGATCAAGAGAAACCTTGTTCTAATCGACAAATGGACGTCGATACGGCACCACATTGCGCAAAGGCATATGCTCGTCTCAAATTCTTAAGCAAGGGTAGGCTTAGAAGCCATAGTGTAGGTGCCTAGGTGATCGAGTTCGAGAGGGTTAGGAAAGTATCGAGAGATTTTTGAAAGAGAAGTGGTGTCACTAGCAAGAGTTGGGATACAAGTACAATGCCCTAAATTGGGTTGTACTCATTACAGAGTACCCCACTGCAGGCTAGACAGCAAATATATTCTGACACACCCCCATAGCCAAAGTGGGGTGTAATCAGCAGAGCAGGCAAAGCAGTACAAGCTCAGGGTGGATCACAATGTCACCACGCATTCTGAGCACAAGTTCAAGAAGCAATAGTTAAAGTGCACAATTATCAGCAAAGCTAGTGGTGGTCACAACGGGCAAGTGAGGAGGAGGAGGGAGAGTGAGAGGAGAGGAGATAGAAGGCGGCGGCTGAAGCTGCAGACACACGGGCAACAGGAGTGGCGAGCACAGTGGCTACCGGACTAAGCGCCCGGACTACAGGAGTAACAGGCCCCGCGGCTCAAGTAGCGGCAGACGGGCAACGGACCCTCGGGCGACTGGCGCAGCAACAAACTCACTGGGCTACCGGACTAAGCGCCCGGACTACAGGTGCTGCGGACAACAGACTGGCAACCTCCACTCAACCTCCCGCAAACAGTCCCACCCCCCCGACACACACCCGCTGCTATACCGCTAGCTCCACTCCCACCCACCCCCCTTAAACCCTAAACCCAAGACTCCCACACAACCACCCCCCTCAGCGAGAGCTGTAGCAGTGGGAGACGAAGGAGGAGGAGGAGGAGGGGACGACACGCACAACCGACACCCCCACAACGAGCACCCCAACACTCACCCCCCACGGCTGCACCTGGTCCATGAGCGGCTGCTGCAGGGGCGAGGGGCGGCTGCTGTTGGTGCGGCTGCTCCAGTGGCTGCTGCTGCTGGGGCTGCTGCTGGGGCGGCTCCAGGGGCTGATGCTGGGGCGGCTGCTCCTGGAGCTGCTGCTGCTGCTGCGGTGGCTCCTCCAGGGGCTGCTGCTGGGGCGGCTGCTGCTGCTCCAAGGGCTGCTGCAGCTTGGGTGGCCGCCCCAGAGGCGGCTGCTGCTGGGGCGGCTGCTCCAGTGGCTGCGGCTGGGGCGGCTGGTCCCGGGGCTGCTGCTGCTGGGGCAGCTGCTCCCGGGGCTGCTGCCGCTGGGGCGGCTCCAGGGGCTGCTGCTGGGGCGGCTGCTCCCAGGGCTGCCGCTGCTGCTGCTGCTCCAGGGGCTGCTACTCCCGGGGCTGCTGCTGCTGCTGTGGCTCCTCCAGGGGCTGCGGCTGGGGCGGCTGCTCCCTGGGCTGCTGCTGCTGGGGCGGCTCCAGGGGCTGCTGCTGCTGGGGTGGCCGCTCCAGAGGGAGTTGCTGCTGGGGCGGCTCCAGGGGCTGCTGCTGCTAGGGTGGCCGCTCCAGAGGCAACTGCTGCTGGGGTGGCCGCTCCAGAGGCAGCTGCTGTCGGGGCGGCTGCTCCAGTGGCTGCTGCAGGGGCGGCTGCTCCCGGGGCTGCTGCTGCTGGGGCGGCTGCTCCCGGGGCTGCTGCTGCTGGGGCAGCTGCTCCCGGGGCTGCTGCTGCTGGGGCGGCTGCTCCACAAGCTGCTGCTGCTGGGGTGGCCGCTCCAGAGGCAGCAACTGCTGGGGCGGCTGCTCCCGGGGCTGCTGCTACTGGGGCGGCCCCAGGGGCTGCTGCTGGGGCGGCGGCTCCTGGAGCTGCTGCTGCTCCACGTGCTGCTGCTGGTGGGGTGGCTGCTGTAGTAGCAGCGGCTCCAGGGGCTGCTGCTGCTGGGGTGGCCGCTTCAGAGGCAGCTGCTGCTGGGGCGGCTGCTCCACAAGCTGCTGCTGCTGGGGTGGCCGCTCGAGAGGCAGCAGCTGCTGGGGCGGCTGCTCCCGGGGCTGCTGCTACTGGGGCGGCCCCAGGGGCTGCTGCTGGGGCGGCGGCTCCTGGAGCTGCTGCTGCTGCGGTGGCCGTTTCAGGGGCTGCAGCTGCTGGGGCTGCTGCAGCGGAAAGTAGGACGGAGGGGAGGGGAAGGGCGCGGCCCCCATTGTGCCCTGAAGGGTGACGTGCTAGGGAGCCGCGCAGGTCCCCGAAAGTGCCGCGACGGGCGACGAGAGGGGACCGCGCGCAGGCCCCTAAGGCGCCGCGACGAGGCAACGGGAGGGGCCGGCTCGCGAGCCCAGAAAGTGCCGCGACGAGGCGACGGGAGGGACCTGCGTGCGGGCCCCCAAAACGCCGCGACGAGGCGACGGTCGGGGCCAGCGCGCGGGCTCCCAAGACGCCGCGACGAGGTAGGTACCCGCCGCGCGCTTCGGGGCGCACGGCGGGCAGAAATCCGCCACGCGCCCCGAGCGCGTGGCGGGAAGAAAAAAAGGTGGTCGTGCACCACGGGGCGCACGACACACAATAGGGCAGCGGAATCGAGTGGGCCCACAGGCCAGGAGCGTTAAGCTCTAATACCATCTCAAAATCTTAAGCAAGGGTAGGCTTAGAAGCCATAGTGTAGGTGCCTAGGTGATCGAGTTCGAGAGGGTTAGGAAAGTATCGAGAGATTTTTGAAAGAGAAGTGGTGTCACTAGCAAGAGTTGGGATACAAGTACAATGCCCTAAATTGGGTTGTACTCATTACAGAGTACCCCACTGCAGGCTAGACAGCAAATATATTCTGATAGCTCGCACAAAGGAAATAATATAGAGCAACAACATGACGGTGAGACGATGCCACATAAAGCCATAATCTCACAATTGTTTCCATAATGTGATGGCTACATTTGTTTTTGTACGGCTCGAAAAATCATGATTTTGTGTAGCGTAATTTAATATTGTTGTCGACAATGATCTGATATGATTTAATATTTGGTAATATGCCTGAAAGATACATCAAAATGATATTCCTACATGTCTATCTAATTGTCAGACATGAGATCTTATTGATAAGAAACAATATTCAAATATACAACTATAAGTTACCAATGAACTGAACGTCTCGAGTGTATGCATCTCAAATATAGCACTTTTGCAACTATTCCTTGCCTCGCCGCCCACAACTGTACTCCCGTTGGAAATCAGTCGGAAATCAGGAGTCCCGACTGATTCTTGACGCGACTCGGGTGCAACTGAACTTTCCGGTAAAGCACACCCTCGCTCACAAATTTCCGTACGAAATCCAGCGGAATTCTGCTAGAAATCGGCAGGAAATCCGACAAACCCAAAATTTATCTAATGCCAGCTTGAGTGACCCTCGGAACCTCCAAGGGCTGAACCGGGTTTTTTGTGATGCTTTTGCTTGGTTTCCGACCGTCGGATCCATATCAACATGGGAATCAAGGGCTACCAGCCCATCGCGAATCTCCCCGGCACGGCGACATCATTGGAATATGACGTCATATCAGGCAGCTGGAACAAGAGCGGCTGAGCGTGGAGGAACTGAGCGAGCTGGAAAAAATGTGGGCCAATGGGAGCCTGCCGTTGTCTGATGAGGTGGTGGCGGCGCTTGACAGGGAGACGGGTCGTCGCAGTGGCGAAGAAGGCGCCGGGGGTGAAGGGGAAGAGAAGGAGCAGCATTCGATTCAGTATGCAAAGCATGAGCTGAAGGCGAGGCTACTGAAAGAAAAGCCGATTCGCAGCTGGATCAGGTATGCGACATTGTGCTTGTACATGATGCGCATGCGCCATGATGTTCTTGTAGCCATTCTCGGTAGCATTCGCCTTGTTTGTAGACTGCACGAGTCTGTTACGAGCCTCACCTTTTCTTCTTGGCTGCACTACCCTTTATGCTTTGTGCCTTCCAGGGAACTTCAATAGATGTGGCGCGACGAGACTGGCGCGCAGCACTCGTCGTTCTTTAAGGCGCACGACGGCAAGGAGCAAGGGAGGAGCAGCAGCGGGTTCATCGACCGGCTGGAGCTCGACGGCTCGCCGGTGGCCCCGCCTCTGTCCGCAGGCTCTTCCATCCTTCGCAGCGGCGGGTTCAAGCTGCTTCTGGCGGAAACACGGAGCTGCAAGGGGAAGGACGAGGACGAGTTTCATCTCACGATTGACGGCGTGGTGGACATGGGCATCTCGGCGCGCGTGGCGCATCCGCTCATGCAGACGGTTATGGAAGCCCAGGCCCATTTCAACGTGCACATCGCCCGGCTCAATGTGAGAAACCTTTTGATTGTTCTCTATGTGCTGCCTGGCCGGTGCTGCCATGTTAACCATCCTTGCGATGGTACCCTTTTTGTCATTTTGTCCCACGCAACCACGCAACCCCATCTCCCCCCTACCCCCCTTCCTGTCCTTCCCTCTTTACCTCCCTTGTGCAGCACACGAGTGGCATTCATGGCGTGCTGGGTCAGACCTTCCGAGCCGAGGAATCCCGCAAGGTGCGCTCGCTGCGGTACCGCCTGCTGACCCGCCTGCTGCGCGAGGCAGTGGAGGTGGAGAGCGAGAGTGGCAGAGGATTCCTGGATGGGCGCACAGAGGACTACATCACCTCGGATATTCGCTCCGCGGATTGCATGTATGCTGCTGCGTGGCGGAGGGGGGAACACGAGAGCACCGAAGGAAGCGACATCATGTGATAAGCGATTGTGACATGCTGGGTGGTATAATAACCTTCTTACACTGGTCAGATATATATAGACAGCCTAAATAATGATTATGCAGCTATAGTGGCATGATGCCAAATTGTGGGGAGTTCAGGTTTTGTAAATCATGTGTGTTTTGTTTCTATGGTTTGTAATATCCCAAGTAATATGACCCAGCTCAATGGAGTAGGTGCAGTGAGCATCTAGATCAAACAGACAGAAATGTTTGGAAGTTGCATTTACATCAGTCCTTCCTCTCTCATACAGCTTCACTGCTGAAATTAGGGATAACATTCATCCCTCTTCACCACTGACTTGCCAATGCGACGCAGAAAACCAACTGCATTACACTAGAGAACCTCAAAGACCTCAGCTGAACCACCGCTGCTAAACTATCACTGCAGCACCACCACTGACCGACGGTGTGCAGGCAGTGAGCAATAATGATCAACGTGCATGCAGCAAATGTGTTAGAGTAGGTTGGTAGGGATGGTTGCACTATCTAGAAAGTTGGGTACAAGAAAGAAATGATATACCCGACATTAGCTACCCCACTAAAGCCTACATTTTATTATGACACAGGCATATAATTTGACACACCCCAATAGGCAAAGTGGGGGAGAGCAAGCGGTCACAAGACCAGTCAAAAGAAGCAAAGCAAGCTCAGGGTGGATCACAACGTCACCACACACACTGAGCACAAGCAAAGGGCCACAAGGCTAGTTCACATGCAGAGGTATATATTCAACAACAACAGTACAGTGATCTCTACCTAGCAGAGCAAGCATGCAGGTATAAATATAGATCATAGTACAAGCAAAGTCTACAGCAAGTGAGGAAAAGTGGGCACATGGCCTAACAAAGTGCAGAAACGCTGATGATCACCAGACGGAAGTGCCTTGGTGAATATATCAGCAGTGTTGGCCCGAGTGGCCACGTGAGCAAGACGAAGCTGACCACGCTGCTGCAACACTCGAGCCAAGAAGTAACGCAGAGCGACGTGCTTCGTTCTGTGCTCCAGTCTGTGCTCCTGACAGAAGGCAATGGCGGCCTTGTTGTCGACGTACAGCACTGGAGGAGAACAAGGCCGCTCTCCCAAGTCAGTCAGCAGGTAGGTGAGCCAGCAAAGCTCATGTGCAGCCATGGCTGTGGCGTAGATCTCAGCCTCACAACTGGAGCTGAGAACTAAAGACGAGCATGTAGAACGCCAAGAAGCTGAACCAGAGCCAAGGCTGAAGGTGTCACCCTGTGACGACCGCTGCATAGCCTGGTCGTCAGCTCAAGAAGCGTTCGAGTGACCAGTGAGGACAACGTCGCCCCGTCCTCCAAGCACGAGCCCCATGCCCGATGTACTGCACAAGAAGCACAGTACCCTCTTAGCTGCATCCATGTACACCTTTTGGTGCCGACCAGGAGCCACGTAGCGAGCCAGAAGGCCAAGAGGGTACGCGAGGTCAGGACGAGTGCAAGTCATCAGGTACATGAGGCAGCCAACTAGCTCTGGGTAAAGACCACTCGGCTCTACGGACTCGTCCAAAGGTGGGGCTGAGAGCGAGTGACCTGTAGCCAGAGGAGTGGCCTGTGCCGAGGACCAGGTGAAGCGGAAGCGCCGAAGGACCTGCTGCACCATGTGTGACTGAGTCAGGGTGATGGTGCGCCGTGCTCTGTCCCGGGTGATCAGCAAGCCAATGTAACTGCGCAGCTCACCCAGGTCTGTGCACGTGTGTCTCCTCTGCAGCTCCGACTTCACCAAGGCGAGAGCCTCAGTGTCAGCAGTGGCAAAGACCAAGTCGTCGACGTACACGAGGATGTAGAATGGCGGCAGCGAAGTGTCGGTGCGCAAAAACAGCGACGGGTCAGCAGTGGAAGGAGCAAACCCAAGAGCCGCAAGTGTCGTCCTCAGTGTGTCGTGCCACTCATGTGGCGCCTGGCGGAGACCGTAGACTGGCCGCCAGAGGCTCCACTGGGTACCAGGAGGGAACGACCCAGTGAAGCCAGGTGGGCGGCGCAGCCAGATCTCCTCGTGCAGGCTGCCCTGTAAGAAGGTTGTGCTGAAGTCAAGAGAGTGAAGCTCGTAGTCACGCTGAGCGGCAACGTGCAGCAGAACCCGAAGAGTAGTCATCTTCGGGGTGGGGGAGAAGGTCTGGAAGAAGTCGACTCCCAGCCTCGAGCAACGTAACGAGCCTTGAAGACAGGCGGAGAACCTGGCGGCCGCTTCACCCTGAAAATCCACATGCCGCTGACGATGTTCGCCCCAGGAGGGGGAACCTCGTCGACGTATGTGCCTGTGGACTTCCAGGATGCCATCTCTTCGTCCATGGCTGTCTGCCACTGAGATTAGTACTCACCCGCGATCGCCTCAGCGTAAGAGCGCGGGGTCGGGATGTCTGGAGCATCCGGGTCTCCCTCAGGGGCAATCAGCATGGACACGAGATGAGGCGCAACGGCTGCAAGACACTCAAGGTCCTCGTGTCTGTCCTCAAGGACGTCCGTGCCAAGAGTACACTCACCCCTGACGGACGGAGGACATACAGACTCAGACTCAGCAATAAGACTGGCAGCGTAGTGTAGACGACATGCAACAGCAAAGTCAACAAGCTCAGCGAATAAGGCAGACGCAGCAGCAGACTCAAACGACGGGTCAGTGACAACTGTGGCTAGCAGACACGTGACAGTATGGTGCTCAGCACGAAACCGGTGAGACCCAGGGTCCAGAACGTCAGGAAGAGAAGACGCAGGAGGAGATGGCAGAGGAACACGTTGCGGAGGAGAGGAAGGACGACAGAATACGAGGTGGGTGTCGGGGACAGCCGGCTGACGCGGACGAGGAACACGACGACCGGAACTACCAGAACGGACAGGCAAGACAGGACGCGACATAGGCTCACGACGCTTAGTAAGACCTCCGTGTCTGCTCAGTATAAGGAGAAGGAGCAGGCAGCGGTGAGCCAGGCTGTAATGGTAGACCAATAGACGAAGGGAGACTAAGAACCTGGCGAAGCACAGAGTCAGACGGTGGCTGAGACGACGAAGACGGCGGAGCGAAGAACAGGCGCGGCTGTGCAGTGACACCAGCACCAACAGCTCCAGTACCCCCAGCAGCTCCAGCACCTCCAGCAGCTCCAGAACCCTTAGAGCCAGCTCCTCCAGGACCAGCTCCACCAACAGCAGCACCCCCAGAACCGGCACCTCCAGTCCCCGGGTCTCCAGCCTCCGTGTCTCCAGCAGTAGCACCCCCAGACCCAGGGTCTCCAGCAATAGCACCCTCAGGCTCAGCACCTCCAGCCCCAGCAGCTCTAGTACCTCCAGTACGAGCACCTCCGGGACCAGCACCACTCCCAGCTCCAGTGACATCAGCAGAAGTACCTCCAGCGGCAGAGCCCCGAGCTCCACAAGCGCAACCCTGACGGCGACCGTACCAGTCGTGCAGCTGCTGTGAGGTGAGAGGCACACGCGGAAGAAGGCGACCACTCCAAGGAGATCGTGTAACAGCAGACTCAGAACCCTCAGCGCCAGCACCCGCAGTAGCTCCAGAACCTCCAGCGCCAGCACCCGCAGCAGCTCCAGAACCTCCAGCGCCAGCACCCTCAGCGACTCCAGAACCTCCAGCTCTAGCGCCACCAGCGCCCGCACCTCCAGCTCCAGCGCCACCAGCGCCAGCACCTCCAGCAGCTCCAGAACCTCCAGCTCCAGCACCCTCAGCAGCTCCAGAACCTCCAGCAGAAATAACTCCAGTAGCAGAGTCACCACTTCCAGCGCCTCCCGCAGCAGGGCCCCTAGCTCCAGCAGCGCGACCCTGACGGCCAACATACCACTCAAGCAGCTGCTGTGGGGAGAGAGGGAGTCGAAGACGAGAGTGCAGCGGCAAGGCACTAGCGAAGCGACCACGGAGACGGCCGCTCCTGGGAGACTTCTCACCAGACGCCTCAGCGCCCTCAGGTGCAGCACCCCCACACTCAGTACCCCCAGGCTCAGCACCTCCAGTCTCCGCACCCCCAGGCTCAGCACCCCCAGGCTCCGCACCCCCAGGCTCAGCACCCCCAGGCGCCGCACCCCCAGGCTCAGCACCTCCAAAAGCAGCACCCCGAGCAGGACCACCCTCAACAGGACTTGAGTCACCAGTGACCTCAACCGACGCAGTCAAGGGAGGAGGGTCTACCTGAGACACACCTGAGGGAGCAGGACCGGGCGCGGGGAGGGGGTCTACCTAGGGAGCACCTGGAGCAAGGAAGAGCGGCGGGGGGGGGGGGAGAGGGGCAGTGCGGTAGGGGAAGAGACGGTAGGGGAAGAGACGGTAAAAGGGAACCGACTCGTCGAACGTGACGTCCTGAGAGGGGAAGACATGGCGCGAGGTGGGGTGGTAAAACTGCCAACCAGGCGCGTCAGGGACAAAGCCAAGGAAGACACAGGGAACAGCGCGAGCGGAGAGCTTGTCCGCGGTGGTATCGCGGACAAAGGCAAAAGCACCCCAGACCCGGAAACGTGACGCATCGCCAACCTTCCCCGTCCACAGCAGTGTGGGCGAGGTCTTCGGCAAGGAGACACGGGGCCAGAGGTTGAGCTGATGCGTGGCGTACCGGACCGCAAACGGCCACAGAAAATGGGGGGCAGCTGCATGGATCATCCCGATCACATGTGCGAATGACGTACGGGCAGCGAACGGCTCTCAAAGACCCTCTACTCTGAGTGTACCACTCGTGAAGCTGCTGGGACGTGAGTGTCTCGCGCGGACGCTGCTGCAGCTGCAGCTGGCCACTGCCAGACGCTCCTGACTGTCCAGCTCCAGGGCGACAACCACGACGGCTACCGCCACAACCCCAACTAGCGTACCACTCACGAAGCTGCTGAGGCGTGAGAGACTCGCGCGGACGTCGCTGGAGCTGCATCTGGCCACCACCAGTAGCAGCAGCAGTAGCAGTGGTAGTGGCAGTAGTCGCAGCAGCAGCGCGGGCAGGGCAAGCGCGACAGGCAGGTAGGCAGGCAGGCAGGCAGGC